TTCCAACAAAAAAAAGCCCAGGACCAGATGGATTCACAGCAGAATTCTATAAGACCTTTAAAGAAGAACTAATACCCATACTCCTCAAGCTCTTCAGAGAAACAGAGAAGGAGGGAGCTATCCCAAACTCATTCTACGAAGCCAATATCACACTCATCCCCAAACCAGGCAAAGACCCAACCAAAAAGGAGAATTACAGGCCAATCTCCTTGATGAACACAGATGCAAAGATCCTTAACAAGATTCTAGCTAACAGAATCCAGAAACACATAAAAAAAATAATACACTATGATCAGGTAGGCTTCATCCCAGAGACACAGGGATGGTTTAACATACGTAAGTCAATAAATGTAATCCAGCATATCAACAGAGCCAAGGTCAAGAATCACATGATTATCGCCACAGATGCAGAAAAGGCCTTTGATAAAATTCAACATTCATTCATGCTAAAAGCTCTGGAGAAAATAGGAATAGAAGGAACATTTCTAAAAACAATAAAAGCCATTTATGACAGACCAATAGCCAATATTATACTTAATGGGGAAAAGCTACAACCAATCCTCCTAAAAACAGGAATAAGGCAAGGATGTCCACTGTCTCCACTCCTCTTCAACATAGTCCTAGAACCCTTAGCCAGGGCAATAAGGCAAGAAAAAGACATTAAAGGGATCCGCATAGGGAAAGAAGAAGTGAAACTATCCCTCTTTGCAGACGACATGATACTATACCTCCACGATCCCAAAAACTCCATCCCCAAACTTTTAGAAATCATAAGTCACTTCGGCAAAATAGCAGGATACAAAATAAACCCACAAAAATCAGTTGCCTTCCTATACACTGATAACGCACAGGAAGAGAGGGAAATAAAGGGAGCAACCCCATTCACAATAACCTCCCAAAAAATAAAATATTTAGGAATTAACCTAACCAAAGATGTAAAAGAACTATTTAATGAGAACTATAAAAAGTTAAAGAAAGAAATTGCAGAAGACACTAGGAAATGGAAAGACCTCCCATGCTCCTGGATAGGCCGACTTAATATAGTAAAGATGGTGATACTTCCAAAACTAATATACAAATTCAATGCAATTCCTATTAAAATCCCAATGACGTACATCACTGAAATACAGAAAACAGTCCAAAAATTTATATGGAACAACAAAAGACCTAGAATAGCCAAAACAATTCTAGGGGATAAAGACAATATGGGAGGGCTATCCATGCCGAACTTCAAACTCTACTACAGAGCTATAATCACAAAGACAGCATGGTACTGGCACAAAAACAGACCCGAAGACCAATGGAACAGAATAGAAGATCCAGATATAAATCCACAGGCCTACAGCCAGCTGATATTCGACAAAGGAGCCAAAGACATACAATGGAAGAAACACAGCCTCTTCAACCGCTGGTGCTGGGAAAACTGGGCAGCCACATGCAGAAAACTAAAAGTGGACCCCAGCCTATCACCATGCACCAACATCAACTCAAAATGGATTAAAGACCTTAACATTAAACCTGAATCTCTGAAACTACTGCAGGACAGAGTAGGAGAGACACTTGAACTAATAGGCACAGGAAGGAACTTCCTGAACAGAGTCCCAGGGTCACAACAAGTTGGAGAGAGACTCGACAAATGGGACTACCTTAAAATAAAAAGCTTCTGCACAGCTAAATCTATCGCAACTAAGCTAGAAAGACAACCAACTAATTGGGAAAAAATATTTACCAGCAATATATCAGACAAGGGGTTAACATCCTGTATATACAGGGAACTCAAGAAACTAATCCCTCCCAAACCTAACAAACCAATTACTAAATGGGCAAGGGAACTAAAGAGGGACTTCTCAAATGAAGAAATAAAAATGGCAAAGAAACACATGAGGAAATGTTCATCATCCCTGGTGGTGAAGGAAATGCAAATAAAGACAACCCTGAGATACCACCTTACCCCAGTCAGAATGTCCCACATCCACAAATCAGCCAACGACAAATGCTGGAGGGGATGTGGAGAAAGAGGAACCCTATTACACTGCTGGTGGGAATGTACACTTATACAACCACTTTGGAAAGCAGTCTGGAGGGTCCTTAGAAAGCTAAAGATTGACCTCCCTTACGACCCAGTCATACCACTTCTAGGCATCTACCCTGAACAACAGGAACCAATACACAAGGACACGTGCACCTCCATGTTTATTGCAGCACTGTTCGCAATAGCTAGGATATGGAAACAACCTAGGTGCCCCACCACAGATGAATGGATCCAAAAATTGTGGTATCTATACACAATGGAATATTATGCAGCCATTAGAAATGACAAAATAATGGCATTTGCAGGGAAATGGATGGAGCTAGAAGGAATCATGTTGAGCGAGGTAAGCCAAGAACGAAGAGACAAACGGTACATGGTCTCCCTCATAAGTGGATGCTAAATCCAAAAGGTTAGGTGATACGACAAAACTAACAGGACTTAAGAAACAAAGAACTCCCGCTCATCTGGTTGAACCACTACTAAATATCCTCATGCTGCTGATCACAAATATGGTATATAACATGTGAACACTGTTATATATTATAGACTGTGGTAGACAATTTGCTCCAGGGAAGTTAGAATGAACTTGTGACTTTGAAATTATGTAATCATTTAATCACAATCAAAAAAAAAAAAAAAAAAAAAAAAAAGAACCTCGGGGAAGGGAGGGAGGGAGGGGATGGTAGGGGGAAAACAATGGAGGGGGTAACAATGTTCAAGAGGAAGTGTACTCATAACCTCACTCATGTAACTGTAACCCTCTGTATAGTAGCTTTACAATAAAAAAAAAAATAAAAAAAAATTTAAAAAAAAAGAAATGTTCTCATTACATTTCTCCTGTAATTGTAACCCCTCTGTACAGTATTTTCACAATAAAAAACCTTATTAAAAATTTTTAGAAAATGAAATCATCACCTCATCAAGATCTGCACTCCCATGTTCATTATACACAATATGCAAGAGCTGGAAACAACTTGTATGTGGCAACAAATGAAGAAAATATACTAGACACAGGAATATTCTTCAGCCTTTAAAAGTAAAGTATTTTCAATTTGCTACAAAATGGATGAGCCACAGGAATTTATATTAAATGAAATAAAAGAAAATAAACAAGTCTGGTGGGCTAATGTACAAGAAAAGTGTTATAGAACTAACTATTGAGAATTTTTGTTAGGTAATTCTTAGCTGCTCTTGTAATACATAAAAAAGTAACTATGTGAGAAGATTAAGGTTTATGTATTTCACCATAGTAGCTGTAGCCCATAATGTCATGTTATAAAGTTCCAAAGTACACAGTAAGATTAATATTGAAAACTAGGCACTGGTGGTTCACAACTGCAATCCTAGAAGCTGAGAGCTAAGGATTACGACTAGAAGCCAGACTGGGCACGAACAGCCCATAAGACTCTTACCTCCAATTAACCACTAAAAAGCCAGAAGTGGAAGAACAACCACCTTGTGGTATTCTAAAGGACAGTGCCCAGGCCCTGAATTCAAACCCCAGTGTACACAAGGGGGGGGAGGGGGGAGCAAGTGAGAGCATGGGAAGGCGCCAGCCAGAGAGAGACAGAAAGACAGAGAGAGAGAGACAGAGACAGACAGAGACAGACCCAGAGAAACAAAAAAAAAAAAGAATTTTAAAATAAAAAACTATTTACAGACAAAATGGTATGATCTTAGCATTTGTTTCAAAATAATAAAGGGAAAGTCAAGTTATAGCCAAAACAAGATTAGGTATGAGTTGATCATTTTTGAGGCTGTATTATACATTTGAAATTTTCCACAGAAAGTTTATAAAATAAAAATTTTAATATCTGAACTAAAATTTCATATATACAGTATATTCTGAAAATCCCCAAAGACTTACGATCTCATAATAAAAGCAAAGTTATGTAAACACTATTACAATGTTAATAACTCTTTAAGATAGGTTATTTAGAATGTAACCATAACAATTTAGTTTCAGAGACAATTTTCAGCATTCTTGGGTCTTCTAAAATGCATTTAAGAGAAAAGCTATTACTACACCTCATGGCTATTATTAGCTTCTAGATGGTTTTCAGGAAACTCAAAACAACCTTGCTGGAGAAAATAAGTATTACATTTATTTTCTTTTCCTATTTGAATATGGGAAAAGGCTTATTATTTACTTTAACTCACAGTTTCAGAGGTTTCAGTCCAGGGTCACTTTGCCCTATTACTCTGAGTCTGCAGTGACACATAAGGGGTTGGTGAAGAGGCCTATTTACTTCATGGTGGCTAGGAACTAATTAGGAACAGAGAAAGAGGAGATGCTAGGGCTTTCAAATATTCCCTTCAGGTATTCTCCAAATGACCTAACCAGTCCACTAGGTTCTACATCTACCTTCTACCAATACCACCACAAGCTGGAACCAAACCTTCCACACATGGGCTTTTGTGGGGAATATTTAAGATCTAAACTGTAACAGTTCCAGCACTAACAATTATCTGATGATAGGAGAAAAAGAAAACAAAAAACAGATGTGTTGGCCTTAGATTTTCCTCTCCTCAAAAGGATAAACATGTACAACTGAGTTCAGTCATTTCGGCTGTAAGTTTCACTACTATATAACTCTGCTCAAACTCACTAGTTTTCTAAATTTATTTCATTTTCAGATTTCATGCCTGTAACAGGCTGTTCTCTTGAACTAATGTATTCCTTAAAACTACCAAGGCTTCTATATGTATCTGGGTCAAATGTTAAAACATAGTCATTTCTGAAGACTCCTTTAAGGTACAATCTTGTATTTTTAAACTTCATAGATGAATACTTTGCTCCAAGGAAGTGAGATGATCTATACAGAAAGGCACGTTTGAATATTCTTTCAACATATACTTGTAGATAAATGACTATTTCCACATCATTATATATCTGGAAGATCATTAATATAAATACACAACTAACATGGCAACTTACCAGATTTTTAAAAAGGGGGTGGAATTTTACCTTTTCAGTTGGAAGTGGTTTAGTAGACTTTTCTGGCTCCTTTTCTCTCTTTTTCTCTTCCTTTTTTTTTTCCTTTTCTTTCTAAAACACAGTCCCAAACTTTGGTAAGCTTAGTAATTTTTAAAATATGTAATTTTAAATTCATTTTTATTAGTTTTAATCATTTGAGAAAAAACATATCCAACATTTACAATACCCATGTTCTACCGAAATATAAAGCACACAAATTTGTTACATGTTGACAACATAAAAAAACCTCAAAAATATATAAGATAATTTAGAACCTCTCACATTTTACTATTCTGTGTTTATTTTAAAATAAGAACTCCATTCAACAATTTTTCACAACATCCAGACATAAGGCTATGCTTCTTAAAAGTACCCAAAATTTTGAACATTGAATAAGAAAAATAAAATTCACCAAACAGAATTCCTTACCATGTAAATGTAGATACAGTATAGTAGGTAGACATGGGAAAGGGAAGATGATATAGAAAATAATTTTAATTTAAAAAAATCACAACAAATTGAAGAGCTATTATCATAGTTTGGTGCTTTTTTTTTTTTTTAAACAGCTGGGTGCTGTCGAGTAGGCTGAGCTCTGAGGATTGTGGTTCAAATCCAGCCTGGGCAGAAAAGTCTGAGATTCTTATTACCAACTAACACAAAAAGCCCTAAGTGAAGCCATGGCTCAAGTGATAAAGCACTAGCTCTGAGCACAAAAGTTCAGGGATAGTGCTGAGGTCCTGAGTTCAAGCCTCTAAAACACCAGTGCGTGCACGCGCACACGTGCACACACACACAATGATTTTCTTACAAAAAAAATTTTAAAAGTTGGTTCCTGGGTACTGGAAGCAACTGACTAGCATGGGACAGTTGAGGCACACTATATTATGATATTGTCAGGTGTGAGAAAGCCTCGGTATAGTCATAAATCAAACAACAACAAAAATACAGAACACAGAATTTCTAGAATGTGTGTAAAAAGGTAGTTTATATTTACAGATTTTCCATACTAATATTCTCTAAGTCATCTCTTGCAAGAATACTTTTTCAGGAACAAAAGTTACCAAAGTTGACTTTCTGAATATCTAACGTGCTAAAATCTAAAGTGCAACCTGTATTCATTAAACTATCAAATGTGCGTATGTAAAAACTGGCATTATCATGAGCATTATAAACATGAACAAAATCTAGCACAAAAATTATCAACAAAGCTAAGCATTTATCAAAAATTTAGTTTTGCATTTATTCCAGGCCTATGAGTCTGGAAAGAACAAAAATGTGAACCTTAATGGATAAATACAAACATTACCTATTGCTGATCCACTACAACTCAAATCAAACCTTCATTTCCCAAACACAACTACAACTCAGAGTTTTCTTTTTTTTTTTTTTTTCTTCTTTTTTTTTGGGTCTGGTCATGGGGCCTGAACTCTGGGCCTGGGCACTGTCCCTCAGCTCTTCAGCTCAAGGCTAGCACTCTACCACTTGAGCCACAGCACCACTTCCGGCTTTTTTCTTTTTGCTTATGTGGTGCTGAGGAATCGAACCCAGGGCCTTGAGCATGCAAGGCAAGCGCTCTACCACTGAGCCACCTTCCCAGCCCCCTCAGAGTTTTCTTATTGTCTAATTTAATCTTTGCAAAAACAGTCTGGAATAACTGTCAATAACATCCTGCTAAAAATGAAGAAATACAATCTGAAGTAAAGTAATGGACAACACCATAGCTAATCAGTATCCTTTCTCAAAAGCTAAGTAACCCCTAACACTTAAGGCTCTGCTATCCACCCAAGTGAATATGTGCAAAAATCTTTTACATATTATATTTTCTAGATATTATTAATGTTTAGTGGCAAAGGCAATGCAATAGAACATTCTTACTAGTATGTTGAGGGTAAGTTGCTTCATAGTAAATTAAAGCAGATGGTTAATGCTATCAGCGAATATGGTATGTTCAAGCTAAATCCCCAATGTGATGGTAAGAATAAGCAGGGCCTTTGAGAGATAATTATGTCATGAGAGGAAACCTCTATGACAGGGATTAGTGTTTCTAAAATGAGGCCCCAAAGAGAATCCTTGCCCATTTTCACCATGTGAGGTCACAGCAAAAAGGTGCTATTCTAAGAACAAGGAAGTAAAACATCATGATACATAGAGTCTGGCAGATTCTTGATCTTGGACTTGGCAGCCTCTCCGTAACTGTGAAAAACAAATGTCCGTTATTAGCTACTCTACTTATGATATTTTGCTAAAGCTGCCTGCAGAAACAAAAAAACTACTATCCTAACTGGGAAAAGAGTCTGATTTCATAATCATTATAACAGGTGGACAATATAAAAATCACCAAAAGAAAAATCACTTAGCTACATTTAACAAGGGAAAACACAATTTCATGTTAATATTGGAATTTCCACTAACAAAACATGGCTGTCATCTATTCTGTTGTCAGACATAGTTATGGTACAATCTGTGAAGTAACATTGATAGTATTATCTCTAAACTCAAGATTATACAGTTTAACTAGCTACTGAATCAAAAACTGCTAACGAATCAAAGACTTCTAGAAATTAAATTTTTCACAGCAAGAACAAACTACAGCAGAACCTGGTAATATAGAAACGTAATTTCTGAAATTCAGTTGCTCTCTATATAATAGAGAGCAACTATATAATTTTTATATCACATAAAAATTATGCAGAAATAGAAAATGTTTTAAAATAGCCAAAAAAGGAATTAATAAATATTATAAATGGACTTTCTAGAGATGAGAATGTAACTCAGTGGTAGAGCACTTACTTGCATAGCTGGTACAAGGGGCCTTGATTTGATTGGAAGCACTAAGTAGGGATATAGACACTTGACTTTAGAGACCACTAAATTAGATAATTGCTTTCTCAGACTTTGATTACATAAAATAATGAGAAGACAAAATTTGAAAATATCAGAATTGCCTTGGGCACATTTACACTTTCTGAAGACACCTCTAACACTTTTTCAGCAAGCTGAGGACCTACATAATCTACAGTCTAATCAACCTAACAATTTCCTTTTCAACCCTTTGTATTGTGCTCTAAAACTCTCTCGTACTCTTCTCACACACTTCCCTTCTCTGCTTATAACTCACAAGGATCAAGTATTCTCACATTTATATTCTCATGTCCTTTCGCTTGATACTCAAAATACTTTTCAGGGTCCTCTACCCATCTACATGTTCCACAACTACCTCATATTCAGTATATCCACCTTTTTAATCACTTTTTTTACTCATTGAATTTTCCCAGGGTAAGGAAAAGGAAAGGGGGAGTCAGATGTGTTACAAAATGATTACAAAATTGGGAAAGAAGTACTCCAGTACAGAAAAATTGACTATGAAATAAAGACCCAAAGGCTTAATTTCCTGCAGTTCAAGAAAGAGATCAAGGATAGAATACACTTTCCCATCTATGTCCTTCCTCATTAAGTCAAGATTTCTCATAAAGCTTTGACTTCTAGCAATAAGTAGTTACATTTGTCTGCCTCTTACTAAGCAATCTTGTGGCAACTTTGATGTAAGACTTAAATAAACATTCATAGTCCTTTCCTAGTCTCCTGATCTCACTTTCCACTTGGAAGTCCCCAATTGCTTCTCTGTAAGGATTAGAGCATAAGTAGGTGTGATCATCCAAATGCAGCAATGTCATATTTGGCAAGAATCATACGAAGATGATTTGGACCCCTTTTCTCCAACTTCTGTCCTTTTTGTTTTTAACATAGAGTATCACTATGTATCCTATGCAAGCCTACAACTCATTGCCTCAGCATCCCAAATCTAGGGATTCTAAGTGATACCATCATCTATGGAGATGGTCAAGGCAGAAACTGAGAGTCACAAGTGGTCCAAGTACCTCCACAGTTCACTAATTGTTAGATCATAGAGAGCTCTAAAACTATGCTTTAAGCCAGGTGCCAGTAGCTCACACCTGTAATCCTAGCTACTCAGGAGGCTGAGATCTGAGGATCATGGTTTGATGCCAGCCAGGGAAGGAAAGTCCATGAGACTCTTATCTCCAATGTAACCACCAAGAAAAACAAAACAAAAACAAAAACACACACAAAAAAAAAAGTTAGTGGCGCTGTGGCTCAAGTGGTAGAGTACTTGCCTTGAACTGCAGAGCTCAGGGACAGCACCCAGGCCCAGAGTTCAAGTCCCATACCTGACCAAAACAACAACAACCACCACCAACTATGCTTTCCTTTTCATTCTCTCTGCTTACATTTTAGTGTTATTTTATTCCTGGATAAAGGTTGATTCTCAAAACTTTTCCTCAACAATTACCATAAAATTGACTAGCCATGGAACTAGTAAAGCAGCATTATAACATGAAAATCTGATCCTATTATAACTTTCTCCTCTTAAAACTCATCACTAAAATGTGTGTCTTCAAAATAAAGACCAGAATCCATCAGTGGGTCTTCAAGAACGCTCTGCCCTCACTTTTTCATTAGTATGTAAGCTCTATGACAGGAGAATTGTATTTTACTTGTCCTCGTGTCTCTCATGTCTATAAAATGGAGAAGGAAGTATTCTAATACAGAAAAATGATCAATAACTAGACATGAAAGCAAGAAACCAGGGGCTCATGCCTATACTCCTAGCTACTCAGGAGGCTGAGATCTGAGGACTGTGGTTCTAAGTCAGTAGGGCAGAAAAGTTCATGACTCTCATCTCTAAATAAGCACCAAAAAAGCCAGAAGTGTAGTGTGGCTCAAGTGGTACCAGAGATAGCCTTGAGCAAAAAAAGTTCAGTGTTAGTGCCTAGGCCCTGAGCCCAAGCTCCAGAACCAGCACTAAAAAAAAAAAAATAGACACAGGAAAGAACAGTTGAAAAATGCCTCAAAAAAAAAAAACAAAAAAAAAAAAACCTAAGAGTCCCAAAGGAGATTAAAACTCTTATATATCTATAGGGGAGACTTTTAAAAACACATAACAGCCCTCCCTACATTCAAAATGTATTCTAATCATCACCATTATAGATTCTATATTTTGGACAACATGCATTCAATTTGTATTAAATTATAACTATGGCATAAGAAAATATTTTTTAAAATCCACTACATTCAACACATTCAGAACTGGGGTCATTAAAAACACATACTACTACAGTGTCCCCAAATTATGGCCTATTATGAAAGGAAGCTTATCACTGAGCAACACAAATGCTAATGGTTAAAACATTATTATACCTCCAATCTGTTTTTCTCAGCAGCAGCTTGCAGAGAAGGAGAAGATACCAAAGGCTGAAGAGGAGCGTCAGAGGAGGCAATCTGTGGGGCACAGACACAAAGTCAGGAGGAAGAAGGAAGGAAGGGAAAGAGGGAGGGAAGGAGAGAGGGAGGGAAAAGATCAGAACTGATGGCCACAGGGAAGAAACAGAGAGTCATGCTTTTGGGACATAAAAGCATGTTAACAAAGGAAAGTAATACATCAAGAAGGAAGTAATATTTGTTGTAAATTTTTTGTAAATTTCCACCTGAACTTTATAAAAGTCCTTAGTCCAGAAAAATGTATTATTTAAAATGGATTTTACTAGGTTGTAAAATGGAAAGCATACCAGATCATACCCAAAGATCATACCAAAGTATGAAAAGTATTTAAGCGTTTCTCATAGTTCATTTCAAGTCAAAATTACTACTAAATTACTAATGCTCTGAAGCATGAAAAAAACTTTGTGCAAGTATCAGGGTAAAGCAGTTTTTACTGATAACTTTTAAGATGCAAATGAAACAGCTAAAATAAAATTATGAATTAAAATTTTAATCAACTGTTTAGGAAAACAAAAGGAACAGCAAAAAAGCAGTGGATTAATGTAATGGGTAAGCAACATATACTTATGAAGCAATTGATAAACTTCCTTCTTTTAAGATCGGCAGCAAACACCATTTCTAGTGCTGTACTTGCTGAATTGCCCCAAGCATTATGATACAGTTATAAAAGCAGCAGAGGCACTTTAGACACTAAAATGTTTTTCATCTAAAAGCTTTTCTACATATCTCCTGACCCACTTTCTACATGCAAAGTTGATCACTTTTTTTTTTTTTTGAGTCCGGTCATGGGGCCTGAACTCTGGGCCTGGGTGCTGTCCATCAGCTCTTCAGCTCAAGGCTAGCGCTCTACCACTTGAGCCACAGCGCCACTTGCAGCTTTTTTCTTTTTGCTTATGTGGTGCTGAGGAATCAAACCCAGGGCCTCATCCATGCAAGGCAAGCGCTCTACCACTGAGCCACCTTCCCAGCCCCAAGTTGATCACTTTTTAATGGAACCATTATTTTCCTGTTCTTTACTGCTAAAATATAACTGAAATACTCTTAAAAATGCATTGTAGATCTTTGGAGCTATAAAACATCTCTTCATTGCTTTATCCTCTCAATGGTACCTATGAAGAACTTTTTTTAATGTACTATTGTAGACAGGTTATTATGTAATGTGAAAAATAACACTGAAAAATGACAAGTCTTTCTTGAATCTGCTTATTAGTTATGACACTAATTTTTTATTCATAAACCAAAACTAAACTCTAGAGTTTTTCCTTTTTTTGTTCTTGCACAACATTGGCTGTTATGATTGTATAAACTAGCTATTTGATTACTAGAAAATTCCACATCAAAAATGCAGACTTTGTGGCTAGGAAGGTAGCTCAGTGTTGCCTTACATGCATGAGGCCCTAGGTTTGATTCCTTAGCACCACATAAGCAGAAAAAGCCGGAAGTGGCGCTGTGGCTCAAGTGGTAGAGTGCTAGCCTTGAGATGAAGAGCTCAGGGACAGCGCCCAGGCTCAGAGTTCAGGCCCCTCAGCTGACCAAAAAAAAAAAAAAAGGGGGGGGGGGGGGGGGGAGGGGCAGACTTTCTCCATAAACAATTTTTTTTATCAAAACTGTGTCTTAGAATTTGGCATAAATCTGGTCTGTCCTACTAATACTTACTTTCTAAAGATCATTACAAGTTCATGTACAAAACAAGAAATTTAAGGTCAATTAATAAAATGATAACAAAAGTTGTAGATCAATAAGGGGTTGTTAGGAAAAAGAAATAGGCTCTGCTGGGTGCATATGGTTCCACCAGGAGGGGGCTGGACTAACAGGGAGGGTTAATGAAGATACAATGGTCAATGGATAATCTGATTGCATAAATACAGAATACTGAAGACTGTTAAGCTGTTTTTGAAAAAAAAAGTGACTAAAAGAGTGGAAGAGGAAGTGAGATTAGTTGGAATACATTTTACACATGTGTGGAAATTTTACAATTAAACCCCTCTTTTGTATAGCTAATATATACTGATAAAAAATAAACACAGTAATACTCAGTAACATTTTTGCCCAAATCATAAAAGTAGAAGGTAATGACATAAAATAGAGGTATTTTGTACATCAATGATTACTAATCTTTAGAAGCTAGCTTGATAATTCATTGTAAATGTGCTTTTAAAAGATGATAAACTAATGTGTTTACTTTAATGTGTCCTCTTCCTCAGAACCAGGAATTTTTTTTTTTTGGGGGGGGGGGGGTCAGTTGTGGGACTTGAACTCTGGGCCTGAGCACTGTCCCTCATCTCTTCAGTTCAAGGCCAGAGCTCTACCACTTGAGCTACAGCACCACTTCTGGTTTTCTGGTCGTTTATTGGTGATAAGAGTCTCATGGACTTTCCTGCCCAGGCTGTCAAATCTCAGCCTCTTGAGTAGCTAGGATTACAGGAGTGAGCCACCAGTGCCCAGCTAGGAATATAAATTTTATTAAATAAATACAATCTAAACATTTTGGTGGGAAGAGGGAGAGAATAAAAGAGGGAGGGAGGAGGAAAAAAAAGGCCTTGACACCATATGCCCACTGAGAAATGAACAGAAATTTGTTCATTCAGAAAGATAATGAAAACTTCAATGGGCAGATATACAAATTATGGTATACTCATACAACAAAACTACCTTTTTAAAGATTAATTTTTTTATAATTTTGGGGGGAAAAAATCTTTGCTAGACCAAGTGCTGATGGTTCACACCTGTTATCCTAGCTACTTAGAAGGCTGAGATCTGAGGATTGAGGTTTGAAGACAGCCTAAGTAAAAAAGGTGCTGAAATTCTTATCTCCATTAATAACCAAAAAATACAAAACTGGAGATGTGCCTCAAATGATAGCCTTTAACACAAAAGCAGAAGGACAGTGTTCAGGCCCTGAGTTCAAGCCAAATGACTGGCCGAAAACATAAATCACTTTGCTACTACCATCATTTTAAGAAATGTCCCTTGAACTGGAAATGTCTTCTCTATATTATCAACATTTCCTTCTATTTTCCTATTATGGATAATCTCAACTAATTCCTTTTAAGAATTATATCCTAATGAAATAAATTGAAAAATCCAAGAGGACTTTAATAGCCAATAGTCATTCTGTATCTTTAAAAAGAGGCTGGCACAATTCTCAGGAATTGTGGATTGCTCCTTAATTTATTTGTTCATTTAGTAATGTGACATATATTAGTATGTATCATATTTAAGGCAATGAGATTAGAGAAATACAATATTTGCCCCCAAAGTAGTTTACCTCTCAAGCATTTCAAATATATAGTATATATGTATAATGAAATATATTCCAAAACAGAATATGTTAATTATAATAGAGCATAAAAGTGCTGTGGAAACACAAAATTTAGATAGCAGTAATGTAAATGGTCCTGAGCACCAAAAATGGGTACTTTTGAGTTAGTTGATTCACAAGATACAACAGTATCAACAAAATCTTTTTTTTAATTCCCAGGGTGCAAATCTGTAAAACTTTCTTCTAGCACAGAAACATTTCTATGCAGGACATATTCTTGTTCGTTTTTGCCTTCATCAGAAGTTTGCTTTACATCTTTATGCTTCATCCTTCATTTCATGCTTAATAGTGCCCACAGCACTCAACAGTAATTATAAATTCCTTCCATCAGAGCAGCACAAAAAAGCTTTTCTGCTTCCTCATAAGTACCTTGCTTGTATGACCAAGAGTATTTTTAAAAGTTTATCAAAGCCAGTCTTTGAGACTGCAAACAAATATCTAGAAATGAAGGAGGTTCCAATCTAGTTCCAGTTCCCCTAACACTCTGTATGAAGGAGCCCTTTGAGACCCTCTTTGGAGACATGAAAGGGCCTGGAAGACAACTCATTAGAAGAATAGCATAGTCTTTGCTTTTATATTTTTTTGTACTTTATTGTGCTAAAAGACACAGAGAAACAGTCACTTTTAGGTTCCTATTGTAACACTCTTAAAATAAGAAAACAATTTGAGAACAGTAACACATCCTGACAAAACTAAAAATCGACACTTGAAAAAGGAAGAAACAAGTGATAAAACAGACACACATAAACACTGTAGAGTGATTAGTAAATATTTAATGGAGGAATAACAGTTGTAGACAGCTCTTTATCCAAGTCCTAGTGTTCAAATTGACCTCCCTTAGATACTCATTAAGTACCCTAGTATTTCTTATATATCATAGATATAAGATATTCATTTTGTTTGAGTACCTTATATCTAAGGTTATTTTTTAATATGTTATACTCCAAGGGAATACTTCTGAAATACATTCTAAGCATATATGAAAACAACACAAAGAATGCCAATGAAAGCTACTGATGGAGACATGGATAGGAAGAAGAGAAACAGGCTCTAATGGGATTAGATACTAGCAAGAAGGGGTTGGGCTCAGGAGAGTGAATGAGAACTAAGCAGATTGTTTGCTTGACTTTGTATGACAATAGAACAATGATACCTGTTGAAATTGTTTTAGAAAGAGAGGATATGGGAGAGTGAAGGAGGTGATGAAATTGACTGGAATACACTGTATACATGTGGGAAACAGCACAATAAAATTCCCTCTTACATAACAAATGTATGCTAATTAAAAATTAAAAATCTCTAATACGCATGAGAAATTTCTCTGAAAACAAGGTTATATCCTTTGTTTCAGTATCCTAGAAGCTATGCACAAGGGTTGGATAAATTTAACTTCAGACATTTTTTCTGGATTTTCAACTCATTAGTAATACAAACTCAGAACAGAAAAACCTTTACCACTAAATTTTTACTTTCAAGACTACAAAAAAATAGAAAAATTGTAGAATGAAGCTGAGGGACAGCGCCCAGGCCCAGAGTTCAAGCCCCACGACCGACAAAAAAAAAAAATTGTAGAATGAGTATTTGTACAAATATTACTAGTAGTCATGTTATGTTTGTTCTTTCTAGACACAGGCAGGCAGATAAGATAGACACAGACACAAATACCTGTCAGGTTTCACTGAACTATTTGAAAATGAGTTAAGAGCTATCATGACATTTAATCCCTAAATATTTTATTTCACCATACGTCTTATATGAGTAAAAAAAATTCTAAGAAGCTATATTGTTATTATGCCCCCAAGGTGAAAGAAAGCAACTTTCTTCCTAACAGCTATCACTGAAATAAAAGAAATAAAACTGAAAAGATGGGGAGAAGAATAACTTTTGAAATTGAGTAGCTATATATAAAGAAGGCATAAAGTATCTCAATTAAAAGCAGTGAACAATTGGGGGGTTGGGGATATGAGAATACAGAAACAAGCTCTGTTATGCCACTGGGTAAAAGTGGGAGGGGGTTGGTCTATCAATGTAAATGAATATGATTGAAATAGTTTGTCTGCATATGTGTAGATAAAACAATGAGGCTGGTTGAGCTTGAGTTAGGAAACAGCGAAAGTAGTAAGGGAGAGTGATGGAAGGGGTAAGATTGATTAGAACACTTCATATAACATGTATGGAAATGTCACAATGGACACCCTCTTTGTGCAACTAATGTACACTAACAAAAAATTTCTAAGGAAAGACAAAAGTTTTCATGAATATAATCTCCAAATTGTTGCCAGAGTATAAAAATGCTCAAAATACAGTGACTTTAGAAAACAAAAAAAAATCTAAAACTTTTTTGAAAAGCTTGCTACAAAGCAGTAAGTTTTACAAAATACTTTACATTTCAAATTAGCATGTATTAGTTTTTTCTCTATAATGCTCAAATAAGCCTTTGATTTATGGACATTACAAACATCATTCTCAACATTGTCATTTTTTATTAATCTTTCAACAGACTTTATTCATTATGTTCACTTAAAACAAGGATAATTTTCCCTCTAAAATAGTCAATAGTGGTATTTTCTTTTTTTTTTTGGGGGGGGGGGGGGGTAGGGTGGTCGGTCATGGGGCTTGAACTCCGGACATGGGTACTGTCCCTTAGCTCAGCTCAAGGTGAGTGCTCTACCACTTGAGCCCACAGTGCCGCTTCTGGCTTTTACTGCTTATGTGGTGCTGAGGGCCTCATTCACATAAGGTAAACACTCTACCACTGAGCAACCTTCCCAGCCCAATAGTGGTAATTTTAAACCTGTGTTACAGGAACTTTTCTCATATTCAGTGATAATGTATTAAAATAGGCTTAGAGTTAGACTGATGCTTCTTATCTACCATAAGAAAACTCTAAACCAAAAACCAAATTTAGCCTGTCAGCATAAAACTCTGAATAAACAAAGGAAGGGAAAAAGATTTCAACCACAAAAGCAAAATAGCCTTGTTATAACTGAGATGGGAACTTTAATCAAGAATGATTTTTTTAAAAACTAAAGTAAGGTTTCAACTATTTGAAAATCAAAATGCCAATAATCAATTGAAATGCCATGCTTTAATAAATTCCTGAGCTACAATTCCATGTTACCACAGATGCACCAAAACCCTTGGGACAAGACAGATTTTTTTTCATTTACAAACATTTCAAGAAGTTAGTAAGATAATTTTCTATCAATTTTACTCAGTTGTTAGCACTTTTTCCCCAAAATTAAAAAAATTTACTTAATTATATAATTAAATGTAATAAAAGCAGCTATCAGACTCTTTGAATATGAACTTTTCTGAACCAGTTCTGTTTTTAAAAACCTCAATAATTATGTGACGCCATGTTCGCTTTGGCAACACATATACTAAAATTGGAACGATCCAGAGAAGATTAGCATGGCCCCTGCGCAAGGATGACAAGCAAATTCGTGAAGGGTTCCATATTATTAAAAAACAAATCGTTTAAATAGGGATACAGATGGACCCATTGCAACAATGAGATGTACAAGTCATTATGTTGAAAAGGAACTTTACAACTTTGGTGGGGGGAGGAGGGGAGATTAGGTGGGGGGGGGCGGGGGGAGGTTGGGAAGGGATGGGAAGGGGAAACAAAGGAGGAGGCTACAATGCTTGATAAGAAATGTACTCATTATCTTGCCCATGTAACTGTAACCCCTGTGTACAGTATTTTCACAATAAAAAAATAATAATTATGTGATGCCAAAACTTTCCATATCTAATTATTTAAACATGAAACTACTATAATTTTACAATAGAGCTGTATTATATAAGTTTAAGAATTATTCAAAAAACACTAATTGGCAAGAGATGAAAGCTTTACTTACATTTGTAATAGCTACAGCATTTTTATCATAATATTTCTTCTTTTCATATTTATCTCTGATGAAAAATTCTACTGCTCTGAAAACAGACAACTTAAGGAAAAGCATTAGTTAAATCATGTGTATTCTTTGCTCTCTCTATTCCTTTCTATATTAAGTCTAACATGATAAATTTAAATTTCCTATTCACCAAATCATATTTTCTCTCTCACAGTATTTCTGCAACTCTGCTTTTCTTCCTTCCAAAGTCCATTTCTTCAATCCAGTTTCAGCAAGAAAAACAACTTAAAACTATTCTTCCTTTTCTCCTCCCACCCAGCCGACCTATTACTTAACTCTAAATTTTAATTCAGGTTTATTTTGAGTTTGTAATATAAGTAAACTAACATCATGCTGTATACAATGTGCCAGACACTGTGATAAGTTATGTACCTGTGTATTGTTTCCTTTAATTACTTTGACATTCCATTAATGGACACTATAGCAGTACTTATACATTTCAGATAAAGAATTAGCAAATTGGAGATGGTATGGTTGCTCACACCTGCAATCCTAGATACTCTGGATGCAGAAACAAAGGAACACAGCTGAAAAATAGCCCGGGCAAACAATAAGCCAGAGTAGGCGTGGTAGAAGAATCCAAGTCCAGTCCACCCCTGGGAAAATACAAATGACCTCTATTAGAAAATAACTAAAGCTAAGAAAGGACTGGGTGTGATTCAAATGGTACAGTATCTGTTTGGCAAACACAAGGGCCTGAGTTCAAACTTCAGGACTGCTCCGCCCTGGGGGAAGCAACCCCAGGGGAAAGAATAAAAAATTGATTCTTATACCAATGTTCTTTTCTGCTATAGTGACTACATCATAAATGCATATTAGAAAAAATAGCAACCAATTTTTTTCTTACTCGTGAAGTTGAACGGAGAACTCAAGTACATAAAACTAAATGTTTCCTTTTATTAGAAATACTTTCAGAAAATATCTAACGTGAGCAATATAAAAAATGAATAAGGACAAAGGTGATCTTGTTGGCATAGGTTGTTCTTTGTTTTATGTAGTACAAGGGTTTGAATTCGGGACTTTAACCAGGTATTGTAATACTTAAGCCACTTTGCCAGACACTTTTGGGGCTGGCTATTAGTGTGATACTGCTATTTTTGCCCCCCACCTCCACCTCTCCCTGGGATGACAAGCTCCTGTCACTTAAACCAACCTTTGTGTTCCATACCACCAAGGAAAACAAGCACAAATCACCCATGCCCAGCCATTGGTTCATATGGAGTCTTGTCAACTTTCCCCCCCACTTAGTCCAGGCTATCCCAGAATCATGATTCCTCCATTTACTGGAACTGCTGTACTTGGCTAATTTATAAAGATACAAAGATAAAATAAAGGATTAGGTTATTTGAACCTTCCTAGTTATTAGCCCAAAAAAATAAAAAAAACCTAAAAAGCAATCCAAGTACATAACGAAGAAAACTTTTTTTTTTTTTTTGGTCTGTTGTAGGGCTTGAACTCTTGAGCCTGGTGTCCCTCAGTGTCCCTCAGCTCTTCAGCTCAAGGTGAGCGCTCTACCACTTGAGCTACAGCACCACTTCCAAAGTAATTGTTTTAATTCCATGGGAGGCAATGAGGATTTTTCCTTAATGGCTGGTTGTTCTCTTGTTTGTAGGTGATTTTTAGAGCAAAAATGTCTCATACAGTTTTAAATATTTTTGTGCAAAATATCAAATACAAGCCAGTGTTTCATAGTTAGTTCACAATGACAAACAAAAAAAATGGACTTTCAATTTAGCCCAGGAATGAGCATAACGTTGGTCTGTTTTAACTACTCAACTCTGTCTTTCTAGTTCCAAAGTGGGCATAGAAAATTCATAATTGAATGGATACGGCCAGTTCTAATAATAGGTAGCAGGCTCACAGTCCTACAGTTACTGACTCCTGAATTCTATTACAGTGTTAAAAGGCAAAGAAAAACCAATAGATGGACTTCACCCAAGATGGACTTAGGAATTAGTCTATAAACCATCATTGTAAACAACCCAAAAAGAAACTTTCATTATATTTCTGCTGATTTCAGTATTTAACTCCCAAATATGGTCCAATGTACAACCACCAAAAAACCATTAGCAGAGCTGTGGCTCAAGTGGTAGAGTGCTAGCCTTGAGCAAAAAAAATCTCAGGGACAGGACCCTGAGTTCAAGCCCCAGGACCAGCACACACAGACCCCACTTCCCTCCCCCCAAAATAAAAACAAAACAGTGAAAGTGAGGAATAATAATAAAACACTTCCACCATTGGAATGTACAATAAACATTAAGCACTCTATAAATGAAGTTATAATACAAATAATGAAATGACTAAGAAATCCTACAAACATAGAGAGCATGGTAAAATCTTAAAAAAAATAAAGTTAGCTTTTTTCCTTTTGTTGGCAGTCAGAGTTTGAACTCGGGGACTCACAGTTACTAAGCAGGCACTTCGCTGTTAAGCCATTCTGTCAGTCCTTTCTTGAGCTATTTATTTTTGAGATAGTATCTTGCTTCCTGCTTGTCATTGCTTAGATGACAGGCATGTGCCATCAAGCCTAGCTTCTTTCTGTTGAGATGGAGTATCCAAGATTTTTCTCTGAATTTCAGCCTCTTCACATACCATAATCATGACTGATGAACACTTTTATGTTCAGCTGTGAGTTGTTGAGGTGTCCTTGAACTTTTCTAGGCTAGCCTCAACTGTGATCCTCCCATTCCTACCCTCTCAAGTATTTATGATTACAAGTGTGAGCCACCAAAGCCTAGTTTTGTTTTGTTTTCTATAATATTGAGCCTCAATGTTACCATAGCATTAAAATGGAATACAAGATTAGTAAAAAAAAAAAGAAAGTTATATACAGTACTAAGACAAGAGCATGGCACACACAGTGTTATTTTGAATTTTAGCTCTCACTATTGACAAATGGTAAGCAATTTAAAAGGCAAAGCCCATGAACAGGAAATAGCAACTATATTATGGGTTAAGGCAATTTGCATAAAATCAAATTTAAACAAGTCAGCAATAAGGAACCAATTAATTTAGATATTGGGAAATCTCATTTTCTGGTCTCCAGATGTTATTTGATACACAACGACTTAATTATATTGCAGAGATCAATGGCACAACCAAAAACAAGTAGAACAACAATCTTAGAAAAACCAACATTTAAAAAACATTAATAAAATTCAGTGGCTATTTAGCGATTTAATAAATGAAAACATCACAATATCCCCCCAAATCATTCTTCTCAAAAGTAATAAATGGCACTACCCAAAGCCAGAAAAATTTTAGCATTACACATGTGTTATCTACTAGTATGTATTTGTAACTTAGGATTTTTCCCCTTTCCTTAAAGATACCACTTCAAAGACAATTGACTTCCAATGAACACAATCTTCTAGTTCCAGACACCTACACTGACAGCAGAAAAACTTTGAAAAGCTCAAAGGAGAAGAACTGCTGATTAGCTTTAAAACTGAATTAAAGTTTTTAGATAAGATGAAATACCCAAATAATGAAAAGCTTGGGGGGGGGGGCGGCACTGGGGGGGGGGGGGAGGAGAAGGATTGGGATTGGGGAGGAGGGGGGAGGCTGGGAAGGGATGTGAAGGGTAAACCAAAGGAGGAGGCTGCAATGCTTGGTAAGAAATGTACGCATTATCCTGCCCATGTAATTGTAACCCCTCTGTACAGTATGTTCACAAATAAAATTAAAAAAAAAAATCCAAATAATGAAAAGCTTAATGTAAAGCTTTCTCATTTATCATGCATTAGCACATGCACCCCATAATTATGATATCCCACAAGAGAAATTATACTTTCATAAAAATTTTTGCAAAACTTCAGTAAACTGTAAAGCTTTTAAAACAACAACAAATCTCGTAAAGAATGTAATGGGACCCATATTATATGAATTTAACTCAGTTTGGTTCCACTTGTCTCTAAGGATATATATTTACATCTACAAAACTGCCAAGATGTTAGGCTTTTAGAAGAGCCATAAACTTTAGAATGACTAATGGATGGATGGATGGATGGATGGACCATTGATGGACAGATGAATGGATGTCAGGCTGATGCATTTTTTAACTACTCTCTCTAAAAATTTTTTCAACTCAGTGTCTCAAAGAGAAAATGATAAAAAAGCATTTCAACATATAATACAATTATACAATATAACTACTATATAAGCTATATATTATTTGTAACATCTTTTTATAATATAATTGAGGTACTTTCTAAAATAATTTTCTCTATGTTGCCTAGGTTCATCTGGATGTTCTGAGATGTACTGATTCTCCCTGCCTCATACTCTAAACAGCTAGAATTACAGAGCCTGAATAATTTTTTTTTCAGCCCTGCCACAAATCTTTTATTAGGGCTTCTTTTAGCGCTATTACAGAATTACTGATGACACACCTAAAATCTTTGAAATGTCATTCCGCAAGCAAATTTTGGGATCGCTTTTTTTGAGGATCGCTTTTTAAGTCCAACAGCTTGATTCAACTGCTGACTGCCTGCCTAGAGAAAGAAAAGCATTTGCTGAGAAGATCATTTATCCTAGGTATTATCAATATGAATTGTCAAACTGTATATATTGTATCAATAAAAATACCAGGTTTACCATGGACAAAGCCAAGAAAACCAATGATGCCAGATATTGAATTTCTATTGCACTGTCCTTTGAACACATCAGCAGGAGGTATAAGCCTGAATAATTTTTTAAGGCTATAGTATTACATAAATGTGGCAGCTAATTTCATGGCTGTCATCTTATACTTGCAACATTAGTCATCATGTATCTTAAGTATTTAGCCAAGATCCCTCTCTAACAGATCTGAATAACCATTAGACTATTTTCTGCTAATAAAAAGATCCACATTTCACATAAACATGAAAAAGGGGATTCTTCAGTTTGAGGGGACTTTCTTTTTTGTAATAGAACTTTATTGTTATTATTAAGGGGTTGTACAGAGGGGTTACCGTTTCAGAAGTCGGGTAATGAGTACATTTCTTTTGGGACAATGTCACTGATTCTGTCACTTTCTCACAATTTTTACCTCTAGTTACTGACTACTACAAGTTTCATAGTTCATTTTTCACAGTATCTACTGAGTAGTATAATTGCATTTGTTCACTCTTCCTCCCTACATTTCTGCGCTCCACTCCCTTTGGCCTCTCTCAAAAGACAGAAAAACAAAACAAAACAGCCAGGCACTGATGGCTCACACCTGTAATCCTACTATTATGGAGGCTGAGATCTGAGAATTGCCATTCAAAGCCAGCAGAAGGGTCCATGAGACTCTTACCTCCAATTAATTAGCAGAAAACTGAAAGTGGAGCTGTGGCTCAAAGCAGTAGAGAGCTAGCCTTGAGTGAAAGAGCTCAGGGACAAAGACCAGGCCCTGAATCCAAGGCCACAACTGACCATCCTCTCCAACCCCTCCCCCCACCAAAACCACCAACGTGTTGCTATTTCCTGGAATCTGTTTCAGTAAACAATATTTTAAATGATCAGAGGCATTACACGTCTCCTAAGTCTGTCTGTGCATGAATGCCTAGAGTCTTAGATAATTTATCATGCTCCAGTATATTTTAGATCCAGGATCCACGTATGAGTGAAAACATGGGCAGTTTGTCTCTCTAAGCCTGGCTTACCTCACTTAACATGATTTGTTCTAGGTCCATCCATTTTTTGCAAATGACATAATCTTATTCCTTCTAATGGATAAGTAAAATTCCATTGTGTTTACCACATTTCTTTTATCTACTCATCTATTGCAAGGCATCTGGATTGTTTCCTTGACCATTGTGAATAGTACAGCAATGAACATGGATGTGTAAGTCTCTTTATGGTATCCTGACTTGTAATGCTCTGGGTAAATGTGCAGGAATGGTACGGCTGAGTCATAGGAAAGCTGTATGTTTAGTTTTTTGAGGACCCTTCAACTACCATCCAGAGTGGTTGTGCATATGTGAAGGGGCTTTCTTATCAACATAGGCTTGTGGGTAGATAGCCTCTCAATTAAAAACTATTTAAGAGCTGGAGGAATGGCTAGAAGTAAAGAACCCATCTAGTAAGTGCTCTGAGTTTAAGCCCCGTTATCCCTCCCCCAAAAAGAATTTCAAAAATGACTTATTGCCCTAGGTCAATACAGAATTTTACATTACCTACATGTTAAGTAACTCTCCAAGCTCCACCCCAACATCCTTCTGTAACAAAAATAGTATGGACATCAGATTGCTAAATTTGTAAGAAAGGGATGGGGCAAGCAGAAATAGAAAAGGGTTAATTCAAGTTACTTTTCAATTACAACTTTAAAAGGTTTTAGTCATATACAAAAATAAATATATAATAAATAAAATTATTTAATTCCAATAGCCACATAACTATTGTATTATATCAATGGTCCAGCCTTGAAAAGGCCACTTTTTATTGCCAATCTAAATATCTAAATACCAGCAATTAATCAAGTTAATATCATTTTATAAAGTAGTACAATTTTAATGCTCTGCTTTGAAAACTTCGATGAATTTTAGAGATTGTATACTATGCAATCATTTTATATTTAACCAATGTGAAAACACCTTGACTAAAAATGCCTGTGGGGAAAGTCTATCCATTCCAAAAGACAGATTTGCAAACAAACACGTTTGTCAGTAGCAAATATTAACAAATTATTTAGTACGTACACCAAATATGTAATTTGTTTTTTATACATAGAAATGTCAACTGTTTGATATAAATGTAACTACTTCTTAAAGATAATCAAAGAAAATCGCTAGGGAAATGATTTCTTTTCGTGTGCCCTGAACTTAGGTCCTCATAGCTGTCCCTAAGCTTATTTGCTCAAGGTCAACACTCTACCACTGGACCCACAGCTCCACTTGTTTTTTTTGGTTTTTTTTTGGGAGGGGGCAGGTTTGGTAGTTATTTGGAGATAAGAGTTACATAGACCTTCCTGCCCCGTCTGGCTTTGAACTGTAATTCTCATTTCTCAGCCTCCTGAACAGCTAGGATTCAAGCCATAAGCCATCAGTGCCAAACTGGGAAATTATTTCTAAAGTACTCAGAATGCTTCACTAACCAAATCCTGATATCAATTTAATGTAATAAACATATAATCTGGGCTCTAGTGGCTCACACCTGTAATACTAGCTACTTGGGAGGTTGACTGGTAGGATTACAGTTCAAGACCTACCAGGGCAGAGATATTATTCCAACCAGCAACCTGGCACAGTTATGGTACACCTGTCATCCTAGCTTTTCAGAGGTTGAGACTGCAATCTTCTGGCTAACACAAGCTAAGAAGTTTCCTAGACCATATCTCAACAGAAATAGTTGGTCTTGATGCCATGCACCTATCATCACAGCTACTGGAGGAAACATCAATAGGGAGACTGCAGTCCAGACTGGCTTAGGCAAAAAGCAAAATTCTATCTTAAAAATAAGCAGAGCAAAAAGGCCTAGAGATGTAGCTCAACCAACAGAGTGCTTGCACAAAACACTGATTTTAAACCCAAGTACTGCCCCTGCCAAAAAAAGAACCCATAATTTTTTTAATCAAGAGATGGAGATCAATCAGAAAAGAATCAAGTCATAACATTTATAATGAATGATAGTTACATAAAAATGTTCTGTCCAGTGACAGCAGTTCACACCTGTAATCCTAGCTACTCAGGAGGCTAAGACCTCAGGATCAAGGTTCAAAGCCAGCCCAGGCAAAAAAGTTCAGGAGACTCTTACCACCAATTAACCACCCAAAAAAGTCCAAAGAACATCTCTGGCTCAAGTGGTAGAGTGCTAGCCATGAGCACAGGGACAGCACTCAAGCCCTGAGTTCAAGCCCTAGTACCAGTACCAAAAAAAAAAAAAAAATAATAATCTATGCATCCTGATATCAAAATCTATTTAAAATCTACTATTTCAAGGCATAACTCAGGGAATATCAGTCTCCAATTTTTTCTCTTTTCTGGGATAGAGACCAAACTCAGGGCCTCCTTATGCTAGGCAAGAACCCTATCACTAAGCTACATCTGCAGTCTTTAATTTTTTTGAGACAGAATCTCACAATATGGCCTTCTAACTTCATATCTTCCTGTGTAAGCCACCTGAAAGCTGGGATTAATAAATTTGTACCTCTACACCCAGGGTGATAAAGTATGTATCTTCCAAATATCAGCAAACAAAATATTAATGTTAAAAATAAGTTAATTCTTTAACAGTTGCTTTTTTGAGGAATTTTCTGTTTGTTGATTTGAGTTTGTTTTATGGTAGTACTGTAAACTCAAGGCCTTAAATTAAGCCACATTTCTAACACAATTTAATTCTTTTCAAATACACAATATACAAAATTTAAAGGATACTGATCTGTCTGTGGTCTTCGAAAATTCTCTGGAAGATTGGCTTCATAGAGTAGTCTTGCTTTAGTATTTCCCATATCTTGCATGCACTATAAGAAAAATTATTTTCATTACTCACGTGAACATTAAAAATTCCTATATATGTAGACATGAACACATATACAAATTCCAGTCAACAGTAATTGTTTCTACACATACTCTTTTTAATAAATTAAATCGTAATTATGAAATTACCCAAATTCTTTAGAAGCACTATTTGTATTTTTCTACCTATGTGGATTCAATTTCATGATTACACTCACTACTTCCTAAAAAAGAAGTTCCTGACAGTTTGTAGGGAGTTCTATTTTCAAAAATTATTTTCAAAAATTGAAAAATGCTGTCATATCTGGGGCTAACAACCCAAGGTAAAACTTGAACTTCAATATACTCTAGGATTTTCATAACTTACAATCAAGACCTCCATATAAGCCAGTCAAGATACAATGCTGACCTAAAATTCTACAAAAGTGGTTTTGTTTCTTTGGAGTTAACCATTTGAGTCTGATGAAAAGTTTTTCCCACCAAAAACAAAAATAAATAGAACAAAACAAGAAAGAAAAGAAAACAGCATGATGCTTGATAGCACAATTGCTCACAGAGCCATGTTACAGTTTGGATCTGTACTCCCCAAAAGCCATGTGTTAAAAGTCACCATAGAGGTACTGCTGGGAGGTAGTGGAACTTTTAGGTCAGCTCACAATGGAGTTTCCTAGGGGTGTGCCCTTTAAGAGGACTGTGAAGCCCTAGTCTCTTTCCCAGCTCATGATAATAAGCAGTTTGCTAGGCTACACACTCCTATCACCACTACTCATCACCTTCATCAAAGGTCAAATTATGCAGAACTGTAAGTTAAACAAGTCCTTCCTCTTATAAATTAAGTGTGCCTCTAGTATTTCATTATGAAAATGACTAAATACAAACCTTTCTCCTAAAACCTAAGAATTAACTCATGAGATATAAATCTATTTAATAATGATTTCATTAATTCGTTTCACTATCATCTAGGAGTGATGACTAAAAATACTTCCTTGATATTACTAGAAACTCAATGTAAGAACTGCAAGTAAAATACGATAATTTATCACATCATTTACAAGGAACTTAAAATATTTTTAGTATGGGGGAAAGTGGCAGAAAATTAACTAGGGGGTAACACTGTTCAAAAGAATTGTATTTATTACCTTAGTTATGTAACTGTAACCAATCTGTACATTACCTTTACAATAAAAATTTTAAAAATACTGTAGTAACAGAAAGATTGTTTTTTATGATATGTTCTTATTTCCCCAGATTCCCAGACACATATCCCCAAGTGTTCTAACAGATTACTTAAGTTCTCCTTCCTTCAAATAAGAAAATATATGATGACTTTTCTCCCAACTGAGTCTTAAAAAAAAAAAAGCCTGGCAGCATCATTAAAAAGAGCTCTTATAAAGCACAGTCACTACTATGTATTATAAAGGAGGTATAAGGTATTTTACATTTACAGAAAACAAAAGAACAAAAAGGAAAGAAAATACAAACAGCAAAAAAGAAAAAAAAAACAATATACATCAACTTTCAGACATCTATTCCATCTTGCATCAATATAAGTATTCTGTCAGAACTTTAGATTTCTAAGTAATTTCTCTAGAGATCAAAACAAAGTAAAGGAACAAGAATAGAAAGTAAGAGAGATTATAAACAACCAAAGGGGGGAAAAGGATTTTTATAATTTTGTCCTCCAGATGAAATAGATACTAAGTCAAAAATAACTTGAAGCCAGATGTCAGCAGCTGATTAATTAATTAATTAATCCTAGCTACTAGGGAGACTGAGATCTGGAGGATCAAGGTTCAAAGCCAGCTTGAGCAGGGCACCAGCTAAACAAGCAAGCCAGGCAAATGGAAAGACCTGAAGTAAAAGTCCAGAGTTTACCCTATCCCACTTTTGCCTTCTCTCTCCTCCCCCCGACCCCCCACAAAGTAACTGGAGCTTTAAGACTAAGATGAAAACAAATTCTCTAATTTGAGCTTTATAATTATAAGAGGAAAGCAAATTCTCTAATGTAAAACTGTTAAGTGGAAAGTCATAGGCCTGTTTTATATCATGATAGGAACTGGTTTGAGTAAAGCTATTATGTAATTCTGTATGGGGAATTCTAAGAAAATCCAACACCAGTTACCTTGCTGGGGGAAAAAAAGTTCCCATATTAAGCATTCAAATGATGCTGCATGTTTATGCCATGGCATAATTTAGAAGCAGAGATTAGTAAATTATCTAATTTTAAAGACATTAAACATTTGGAAAGAACTAAAAAAAAAGTCTCTTAGTTTACAGTTACAATTAATCAAAAAAATAATTTAAATACAATTCACAGAAACTATAAAGGTAAAAAACTGCGAGTATTCATTTTTGCTGGAAATTTCAACAAAAATATGAAAACTAAAATCTATTATATATATACACACACCATATCTCATCCACTATATTTATTCATATTATCATTCTGAAATATTAATACATCCCATAATTTATATTTACTATATTATGAAAAAGGCCTAAACATTTCAACATTTTGCCAGTGCATATTTACAGTATACTAAATTACTTAACATTATTGTAGTGATGTCAAGTATCATAATTAGACAATAGGGAAAATAAAAGACAACAAGATCTGAAAGGGAGAGCTGACAAGGAACAATGAGCCATTTCCATGAAAGTCATTCCTTAAAGTGAATGGTGCAGTTGTATCTGTTAGCAGTCTAAGGAAAAGCAGACTCAATGACATCACCAATAGAAGTCATTTGTTGAGATAAAGAAGATACTGATACGCTCAGTTTCTATGTTTCTAAATGCAGAATAAAGATGTTATGTAAGGAAGAATCCAGAAGTGTTAGCTTCAGTCAAGATAAAGGTAAAAAGTGGAGCCATTTGGAGATAAAAGAGCAGGGGCTCTACTCAGGAGGCTGAGATCTGAGAGTTGGGGTTCAAAGGCAGCCAGGGCAGGTGAGACTCTTAACTCCAATATACTATTCAGAAAAGGCTGGAAGTGGTACTGTGGCTCCAGTGGTAGAGCACCAGCCTTGAGTACAAAGAGGCTCAGGGACAGAGCTCAGCCCCTGAGTTCAAGCCCCATGAATGGCAAAAAAAAAAAAGGAAAAAAGAAAAGAAACAAATAAGAAGAACCAACAGAAATAAGAATTTGAAGTCACTGTCAGTACCTGCAAACACACTATTGAATGAAATAGCAAGGCCAGCTGTATGGCAAGTTAATGATTAATTCCTCTAAGAATAAAATTTGATTTTTTCCCCTTTGTTATATGATTCCAAAGTCTTGAAAAAGCAAAGCTATCAAGACACAAAAGTTTTTCAAGGTATAGTTTCTCTTTGTCTTAGATTAGGTTGACTAATGTCAAATACAGTTCATTCCAAGCTTAATGTCTATATCTGATACATTTGGTTCCAAGACTTTCCATTTTTGCATCCCCTCCTTTTCTTAGTACCTTCGTCCTATTTGCCCTGTAATGTTCCTGCACTACATCCTCAAATGCTAAAAAGTACCTAGTCAGCAGACATTTACAGTGTAGCTAGCATTAATAATGTAGTGGTATCTTAGGAAGCTATCTACATAGTTTGCACAAATCTGAATTTATATACTTGTTGACTGAAATATCCTAAGCAATTGTTTTTAAAAATAGGAGCAGTGGAAAAAATAATAGAATACCATATACTGTAAGTTACATTGAAATTAGGCCTTTCACATTCTAGATGGCAAAATATAAGACCTGAAAATAATCAACAAACTCTTAAGCATTAATGCTTAAAATAAGAATGAAGTACATCTATGATAAATCTAAACACAAGAATTAACACTATTCAAAATAAAACTCTTCTATCCAATTTTCTAAAAAACAAATTTGGAGAAAGAATCTGAAATCCAATTCAAAGATTTTTGCACAATACTATATACTACCTGTATGTTTATATATTTAAACATAAAATATATCAGAATAACTACAAAGAAACTAACAATTTGGTTATTTAGCATACCTAATTACTAAAACTAATAATATGATTGCTTCTTTGGAGAAAAACTACATAATTGAGGGCAGAATTGAAAGAAAAGTATTTCCTCTATAATTTTGTACTTTTAGAGGTTTCACAATTTCTATGTATTTCCTAGAACAACAAAAAAAAAATTACTCTACATTGCTTCTAAATAAAATCTAGATGGAGTTTGGCTAGGTAGACAAGTACCTTCTGAATCAAAACAAGGAGACCACCTCCTTCTAAGAAAAGTAGTCTTCTGTTGGGTCAAAACAGTTACAACTAAAACCAAAGATAGACAAAATTTTTAAATCTCATATAAATAGTTATTACACTCACACTACATTCCAATCATTAATATGGCATTTATTCCTCAGTGTCATAATCTTAAAAACAGACTGCAGCTGCTGAAGACCAAAATTTTCTTAATATTTTAGAGTATTTGTGAAGAAGGGAAGAGGCTATTTGCCCTATTTTCACTAAAATCTTTGAAAAGACAACTGCTTTAGTTAAATGTATATATTTTTAAAAAATCACTTATTTAAAAAGGAGTTAATATTGATGGTCCCTGGATAAGTTCTTCATGTCAGTTGACTCACCTCTACTACCTCTTGAAATTTTCCAGAATAGTTCTCTATCTTCCTCTCAAAAGCCACCAGGATTTCTTGCATAGGAGCAAGCCTTTCAGGACTGGTTTCAAGATCTTTTGGATTCCAGCTGCTGGAAAAGAAGGGCCACCATTTTTGGTCTCAGGAACTCTTTGGAAATAATTAACACAGAGTCCACTCCTTCATTTTCATGAAATTATTTTTAGGGAGACTTTTTTTCTTTGTTTAAATTTGCTACTACAAATTCAGAATATACATTTAAAAAATAAAAAAGCAATGAAATCAAACACTTGTAACAAAATTGGACAAGTTTTAAATCACAGTCTTTTATGACCTCTATTTACTATGAGATTCACATTAATTAAGTCCAGAAATAAACAACCTTTACCCTACTTGTTTAAGGCCCTACT